TAAAACCATGATCATTGATCAGGTCCAAAACCACATCATTTATGATGCCAGATGAAGAAATCTCATGGGGAATCCCAAGCATCTTCTGACCACGAGGACCAGGCTGAGAGCAAAGATCCAACCGTTCAGCAGAAGAACAAATTTAGTCTAGTTTTTCCATCTGTTTTTGGAAATTTTCAACCATGGGGGTTCTCCTAGCACCTGGCACAAAATTGTTCTTCATTTTCTGATCTTCTAAATCCTTTTTTCTTGCTTGCAAATCTGCACTCCAGCCTTCCAAAAGCATGGGAGATGCATGACGTTGGGATGGCAACCCAACACAACGATGTTCTTGTCTTCAATTCAATAAATCACAAATTTTCCATTAAAAAAAAAAAAAGGTTGAAAAGTTCCCAACAAGCTTCTGCTCCATGTCCTTGGGTCATGTTTTACCCAAAGTTATTCCCTGGAGATGTTGTTTTCTGTCTTGGGGATCTCCCACGTTCCTGGAGAACTTCATTAATTTCTTTGCAACCAGATGCTGTGGGAATTCTTTGCCAAATTATGTAGGAAAAATGGAATTTTAAAAATCTTTCTGCCCTTCTCCCAGCTCTGCTGATGGGAGAGCGTGAAAATATCCCAGTTCCATCCTCTGAGCTCTCTCCACCTACCTCCATCTCCATCTCCGAAAATGGGGTGATTTTGTAATTCTGTGTTACGACCGAAGGCCGATGTGCCATGATCATACCCATGGAGCAGCTTTCATACCTTTTTTCCTAAAACATGGTATTTTGGAGCTGCTTTTTTTTTTTTAAAAAAAAAAAAAAGCTCCATCACCCATCCATGATAATTTGGGGAAATCCTCCTCTGGTTTTGTTCGCTTCTTCACGCATTACGGGAATATTTTTCCCACTTGGACTGAAAATTGTCGTCCCCAAAATCCACACAGAATAAAACCGAAGCCATTTGGTGCTTCTGAATATAAATTCAGACAAACCACCACCTTGATTTTTTTATTTTTGGGGGTTTTTTGCCTTTTTTTCCCAGCTTGCAGGGTGTTTTTGGCCGCCACGGTGCTCACCATGAGATGCTGGAAGAGCCAGGAGCGCATGATGTTGGTGGCGTGTTTGGGCAGGACACCTCGCTTGTTCTTGGACTTCTTGTCCTCGCTGTCGAGGAGGGAGGTGAGATCCAGGTTCACCTGCTGGGGGAGAAGAAAAGGGAGAGAAATGTCTGAAAACAGTGACAGGCAACCCAAAAACAGAGAAAAAACAACTTAAAAAATGAGCAAAACCAACTCAAAAAAATGAGCAAAACCAACGCAAAAAAAGAGCAAAACCAACTGAAAAATTGAGCAAAACCAACTCGGAAAATGGAGCAAAACCAGCTTGAAAAAAAAATGAGCAAAACCAGCTCAAAAAATTGAGAAAAACCAACTTGGAAAACAGAGCAAAACCAACTCGAAAATGGAGCAAAACCAACTCAAAAAATGAGCAAAGCCAACCCAAAAAATGAGCAAAGCCAACCCACAATGGGAGTGGGGCAAGTGCAAAAAACAGGCACTTGCAGGGAGCATACAAAATTGTTTTTTTCCTTAAAAAAAATGCATTAAATCCCCATTTTCTGCCAGGATCTCCATTTAATTTCTCTGTTTTGGCCAATGCTTTGCAAAGGGCGATGGGCTTGTTCTCCAGCACAGCTGGGGACCATGGTGCTGATGTCACGACCGTTTTCCAAGAGCGATTATTTAAAAAAAAAAAAAAAAAAAATTTAAAAACCCCAAAAGATGACTTTCGAAACCTGAGGTTCCACCCCGCCATTATTAACCCCTCACAAACCCACATTCCTCAACCGGCTGATCCCCACCGTGAGAAAAAAACACATCCATTGAGCAAAAATTTTACTTTTTTCCCCCAAAATAAAAAATAAAACATTTTGCTGCAAGAGAAGTTTTAATGAGGACATGGGAACCGAACTGAAATCTCAGTGCTTGAGTTAAAAAGGGATTTTTTTTTTCTTTTTATTTTCCCCCCAGCTCTTCATCAAAACGCTTCTCGTGGATGAATTAAACATCAGGGCAGCGAGTCCCCGGGATTCCCCTGGGCTCCGGCTGAATAAATCATG